TTCCGCCTAACGAGCGTCCAGTTCTTGTGGCGGTAAGCGAATCGGCCCCCGGCACTTCGACGTTGGATCGTCTCTTCTTGCTTCTGCAATGGAATGAAGCAAGAACAAGCGCAGTCTTTGCATTTTCATATGCCAGCATCAAAATACACTACATATTCCAGTACACCTGCAATATCTCTAGAAAAAGGATGGACCAACAATCGTCTAAGCCCCTTTTGAAAGCTTCCACGGTCTCAGACTCCACTAAATCAGAAGTTTATTCCAGAAGTTAACTACTCGGTTCGTAAAAAACTTTGCCCTGATGCCCAAACGAGCTCTATGATGTTTCAGCTTCAGGCGATGTCCGCGCAGATGGTCTGCCATAGCCAACTCAAACAGATGGGTGGAACTAATACCACTAAGTCCCTTAATGACCTTAAACGTCTCTATCAAATCCCCTCTCAACCTACGCCTTTCCAAGGAAAGTAATCCTAAGCTACTTAGACGATCTTCGTAAGACTTCCCGCGTTGACCTCCATTCATCCTGGTCGCAAGTTTCTGAATCTCTTCTATACAAATGATGTCGCTCCGGAGGTACGGTGACCAGGCCTGAACACAATACTCCAGATGTGGCTTGACCACTGCTTTATATAAGGGCAAGAATACTTCTGCTTTAGTGTTACTCAGCGCCCTCCTAAGGCGAAATAATTCGTGTCGCGCTTTATTGGCATCATGACGACACTGTGCCGAAGGCTTAAAATTGTTCGCTACGATGACACCTAAATCACTGGCTTCCTCGGTACACCGCAATGATAGAGATCCACAGGAGACTGAACTGCAATTCCGCTACCACTACTAGACAATAGTTGACATTTATTGGCAAGTAGAGGTAGATCCCATTGGCTTAACCAATTCACCACAGAGATGATGTCCTTAGCCAATGTCGCTCGGTTTCCCCTACTGACTAGCTTCAAGTCATCTGCGAAATATATCAGGGATCCTCAAGAAGAGGAGCCAGTTCATTTATAAACATAAGAAACGGCCATGGACCCAGTACCAACCTTGGGGGACACCGCTGTATGCATGGCCAACACTAGAACTCGCTTCCCCAACCCCGACTCCGAATGTTCCTTCCATGTAAGAATTCAGAGCCATAGTAATAGTTGAGGACGCAATCCAAACCATGTCAGCTTCTCAATTAAAAATCGATGGTTAACTGAGTCAAAGACTTATCCTCTAGATAATCCATTGGAAAAAGCAGATAAAATTGTGGTAGGTAAAAAAACATTATGATCAAAAGTAATGAATCACAGAATCATTGGAACGAGCTCACCAGAATGAAAATCCACAATGGCCGGCGGTGTGGTCCTGACAGGAGGGATGACCACTAGTGGCACAGCAAACAGTGTGAATTCAAGATGGCGAAGCTATCGGATTAGCTGCACAGACGTAAGCAGAATTGTGTGGAGGTGTGTACTTTTTAGTCAGCTTAACCAGAAAATTGGTGTTTGAATGCACCAATACGATAAATAAATAAATAAATAAATAAATAGTATATTCTCGGTAAAACGAGACACACCTGTAAAGGCGTGATCAAATATGCATACAAGCATAGCTTCTGTGGAATGTTAAAACATTTCGTTTTTATGAAAGTTATAAAAGAAAAGATGTTGTCCGTATGAGTGAGCATACTGTCAGGTAATAGTCAGACCCAGGGACATTATGGCGCTGTGGCGCGCAAAAATCCGTCAAAACACAAGTTGGGGGTAATTACACCAGGTAGTGATCCGAGATAGAGATGATCTGTGCTCCAACAAAGCATTGTTCATAGCAGAATTAGTTGCACAGGTTCGATGTAGAAGGCTGAGGACTGCGTCAGTGTGAAATGCATAGCTGTGACTTTATTTTGTGGCGAGTCACATCCGCCACGTTGCAGTGTTGTTAAGCGGACATTTGTGGCTTTTTATAGGGAGAACGCTTGCCAGGCGAAAACCCACCACGTCCTGGAACACTGCCGTAGCTTTCGGTGAACAGTAGTGCAAGTCGGTTATGCATCTTATAGACCGATTTTGCGTTCTATTATTCGCAGTCAGTTGACAGCCAAACTTCTTCGTTGGTTGGCCGAATGGCTTAGTTCTGATACGCCAGCAGTCGTTGAAGCTGGTCAATGACGCAAGATTCGAGGAGTCGATTGATAATGCTGCAGGTGAGTAAACACATTGTTAATAGAGGCCGGCTCTTCTAATATATTCTTGCTCGGCTCGCAAACCATGTCCAACTATCCTCACTGGACTTGTCATTGGGTTGGTGAGTGAAGTTGTTTCTTGTGGCTGAATATGTCCTTAATAGGTAAAAACGCCATTCTCCGCAAATTGGATTTGGGATTCCTGCAAATGTAAGTAAGTGTAACTGTTTCCGTAGCCAAGTGAAAATTCCATGGAACCATCGGAATAACCACGTATACGTGCGCAACGCTGTCCGTAAAATGACATCAGAATAGCTCCAGGTGACTGGCGAATAGGAATGTTTGAGGCAGTGAAGGTAATCACGCCAGAGTTGTTTGTCTTCGACTGTGGAACGGGGGATCCATGTACATATATTCTTCCAGGTGAGTAACTTGTTCTCTGAGTACGAGGCAAGCTAAACCCATTTGTTTAGACCCCATGAAGGTAGCGCCTCCGGAATGGCGGAATGAGCTCCATTTGGACCAGTGTGTGGGTTTTCCATTTCCTGGAGAAAGGACCAAGCGTTTTGAGGATGGGTCGACCAGTCCCAGTGGATAAACCTTCTTGTTTTGGCGGATGTACCTGTGGGAATCTCGGGAAAAAGGGGCAACGGACAAGAGGTGGCCAAACAGAGACATCAATGAATCAAGAAGCAATAACACAGACTGGTGGCGCTCACCGGTGCCTATGATACCTTCAAACTTATGTACTTTTGTTTAGTATACATAATTCGCAAGCGCGTTCTATACATTACGTCGCTGGTGTGACTCAGACTATAGCTACTGCGTGGGAAGAAGGTTCTGCACGCGCAGGGTCAAAAGACCGATATAACAAAGTGTTTTAACAAAAGTTAAGCGAATGATGCGATGATGATGGCAGAAGCCAGAATGCGAGAGGCATCTTAGGTGAAACTGAGGACAACTAGGTTGAGACCGAATGCGGGAGCAAGACAGGTAGAGCAACGTTCCAAGACGAAAAGGAATTTCAAGGAATCGGCTAGGAGCGGATGAATGCTGACGGCAATACGAGGAGTAGTTCATAAGAGTAATTACACTAAAGCGTTCATGATTCTACAGTCCAAATGCCTACAGAATCTAGGAAAATGGTCACAGGGGGCCAAAACTGCCGTGCATTGGGTGTCGTTATGACACGTACGGTCTCAATAGTATACCAGTGCGAGCATAAGGTAAAGAGCATAGGAATAGGAAGAGTGGTATGTTGAGCATACTAATGGAAGTACTAGTCAAGCAACAATTAGCAATGGTCCGAGTGCCGCCAATACTCAGGAGCGAGCTCAGAGCGAATGAGATCATGCACACGAGGATAACTTGGATAGGCGCAATGAGTGTAAGCTGTGGGAATACAAATTGGAGCGCAATAAGAGAAAAGGCCAAGGATAATAGGAAATAAAACCAGGCGGAAAGTTACAGACAGGTCAGGTGAGAGAGGATAACGGCAGGACAGTAAAGCCGGACGTCCGAGTTAAACAGAAATGAAAACGGAAACGAAAGAAGAAAAGGTTAGGGTCGGGGTGAGAAAGGTTTATTGGTAAGGAGTGGAAAAGCCCACGAGGCTCTCCGAGTAGTGTTAACAGGACCAATAGGTCAGCCGAACCAATGGAAGTGATGTCTCAGAAGTCCAAATGAATATAGTGATTACGAGGCCGACTAAGCGGTATTGGATTAATCGGCCCTTTGGGACTAGGTCGTACAATGCAGATAAGAATGAGGCTATAACAATAATGTGGGGTAATAGAGTTAACTCTGCGGAGCCAATACCGTTTAAGGCTCGGCATCATGGAAGCAGTCCGAGATTAACAGACTAGTCCATTGAGAAAGGATCACGGCATGACAGTAAAGCTGGTCGTCCGATTAAAAAGGGGAATGAAAAGAGGAAGCGAGATGAGAAAAGGTTAGGGTCCGTATGAGATAGGTTTACTGATAAGGAGTGAGGGAGCCAACGAGGCTTTCCAGGTGATGTAAGCCAGACGTCGAGTCAGCCGAACCAAGGTTTGTAACGTGGAATAACTCTAAGTAAAAGTGGAGACAAGTGGCTGATCTAGCGAGACTAGATTAGTCGGCGCGTAGGAATAGCACGTAAAATTAAAGGCAGGAAAAGAGACTGTAACAAAAGGTGAACGAGTCTAGCAGCTTCACAAAGTAAGGGATCAAGAGCGTTGAGTCTGTGTAGCGTATACCACTTAAGTCAGAGTAGCATATCAGCAATCAGAGAGAAGGAAACTGATCGGTGGACTAGATCACCACACCGCCAGTTGAAGAACAATTGAGAACAGAGCGCGATAAAACATAAGTTAGCGACAGGATGAGAAGGGTTTATTCACGATGGGTAAGAGAAGTCCAATAGCTCTCTAGGTAATGTAAAGGGATAGTAGAGTCAGACGAGCCAAGAGAGGTGACGTCTCAGAAGTCTGAATAAATCCGAAAGGCAGGAGGCCGATCGGGTAGGACTTGATTAGTCGGCGCGTGTGGATAAGGACATGTAGTAAAGGTAAGAAAGGAGCCAGCAGTAAATGGTGAGCAAGTCAAGCAGGCTCTAAATTTAAGGGAGACATCATGTTAAGACTACTGGGCGCATACCGCGTAGGTCTTAAAAGCATAGTAGCAGACTGAGGGAAACAGACTAGGCAAGTGAGCCCATATCACGGCAATGCAGTAAAGCCGGACGTCCGATAAGAAAGGGATTGAAAACAGAAAGCGAGAGAAGAAAAGGTTAGGGTCGGAGTGAGAAGGGTTTATTGGTGAAGAGTGGAAAAGCCCACGAGGCTCTCCAAGTAGTGTCAACAGCACCATTGGGTCAGCCAAACCAATAGAAGTGATGTCTCAGAAGTCCAAGTGAATTCAGTGAATACGAGGCCGACGAAGCGGTATTGGACTGATCGGCGCTTTGGGACTAGGTCGTAAAATACAGAAAAGAAAGAGGCTATAACAATAATGAGGGTACCAGTCTATAAGTCTCTCAGAGTAGGGGTAGTAGAGTTGACTCAGCGGAGCCAATACCGTTCAAGGCTCGGCAGCATGGGAGCAGTCAGAGATAAACAGACTGGTCCAGTGAGACTGGATCACGGCATGACAGTAAAGCTGGTCGTCCGATTAAAAAGGGGAATAAAACAGAAAGCGAGATGAGTATGTTAAAATAAAAATTGGGTGCGGCCCTGGTGGGGACAAGTGGTGGGGGGAGTGGCGCGGTGGCGCAGTTGGGTTAGGGTGGTTGTGGGTTGTGTGGGAGGGTTGGGGGGGGGGGGGGGGGGGGGGGGGGGGGGGGGGGGGGGGGGGGGGGGGGGGGGGGGGGGGGGGGGGGGGGGGGGGGGGGGGGGGGGGGGGGGGGGGGGGGGGGGGGGGGGGGGGGGGGGGGGGGGGGGGGGGGGGGGGGGGGGGGGGGGGGGGGGGGGGGGGGGGGGGGGGGGGGGGGGGGGGGGGGGGGGGGGGGGGGGGGGGGGGGGGGGGGGGGGGGGGGGGGGGGGGGGGGGGGGGGGGGGGGGGGGGGGGGGGGGGGGGGGGGGGGGGGGGGGGGGGGGGGGGGGGGGGGGGGGGGGGGGGGGGGGGGGGGGGGGGGGGGGGGGGGGGGGGGGGGGGGGGGGGGGGGGGGGGGGGGGGGGGGGGGGGGGGGGGGGGGGGGGGGGGGGGGGGGGGGGGGGGGGGGGGGGGGGGGGGGGGGGGGGGGGGGGGGGGGGGGGGGGGGGGGGGGGGGGGGGGGGGGGGGGGGGGGGGGGGGGGGGGGGGGGGGGGGGGGGGGGGGGGGGGGGGGGGGGGGGGGGGGGGGGGGGGGGGGGGGGGGGGGGGGGGGGGGGGGGGGGGGGGGGGGGGGGGGGGGGGGGGGGGGGGGGGGGGGGGGGGGGGGGGGGGGGGGGGGGGGGGGGGGGGGGGGGGGGGGGGGGGGGGGGGGGGGGGGGGGGGGGGGGGGGGGGGGGGGGGGGGGGGGGGGGGGGGGGGGGGGGGGGGGGGGGGGGGGGGGGGGGGGGGGGGGGGGGGGGGGGGGGGGGGGGGGGGGGGGGGGGGGGGGGGGGGGGGGGGGGGGGGGGGGGGGGGGGGGGGGGGGGGGGGGGGGGGGGGGGGGGGGGGGGGGGGGGGGGGGGGGGGGGGGGGGGGGGGGGGGGGGGGGGGGGGGGGGGGGGGGGGGGGGGGGGGGGGGGGGGGGGGGGGGGGGGGGGGGGGGGGGGGGGGGGGGGGGGGGGGGGGGGGGGGGGGGGGGGGGGGGGGGGGGGGGGGGGGGGGGGGGGGGGGGGGGGGGGGGGGGGGGGGGGGGGGGGGGGGGGGGGGGGGGGGGGGGGGGGGGGGGGGGGGGGGGGGGGGGGGGGGGGGGGGGGGGGGGGGGGGGGGGGGGGGGGGGGGGGGGGGGGGGGGGGGGGGGGGGGGGGGGGGGGGGGGGGGGGGGGGGGGGGGGGGGGGGGGGGGGGGGGGGGGGGGGGGGGGGGGGGGGGGGGGGGGGGGGGGGGGGGGGGGGGGGGGGGGGGGGGGGGGGGGGGGGGGGGGGGGGGGGGGGGGGGGGGGGGGGGGGGGGGGGGGGGGGGGGGGGGGGGGGGGGGGGGGGTGGGGGGGGGGGGGGGGGGGGGGGGGGGGGGGGGGGGGGGGGGGGGGGGGGGTGGGGGGGGGGGGGGGGGGGGGGGGGGGGAGGGGGGGGGGGGGGGGGGGGGTGGGGGGGGGGGGGGGTGGGGGGGGGGGGGGGGGGGGGGGGGGGGGGGGGGGGGGGGGGGGGGGGGGGGGGGGGGGGGGGGGGGGGGGGGGGGGGGGGGGGGGGGGGGGGGGGGGGGGGGGGGGGGGGGGGGTGGTGGGGGGGTGGGGGGGGGCGGTGGGGGGGGGGGGGGGTGGGGGGGGGGGATGCGGGATGGGTGGGGATCGGGGGTGATCTGGGATTCTAGGTTCAAAACGGGACGCGGGCAGGGGGGGGGTGTTCCAAGGGGTAGTGTGGGACTAAGGGGGATGGGGGTGATTGGGATTGATACGTCTAGGGGTGACAGGGGTTTCGCTGGGGTCCGGGGAGTTATGGGAACGGTGGGGGGGGGGGGCAGCTAGGGTTGAAGGTGAAGGCGCACCCCGGCTTAGCGATAGAGTGTTTTTTTTCTTCTTTCTCTTAGCATTTGGCGTTATTTTTTTACCCCTTTTTATTTACTCTATTTCTTTCTTTCATCTTTTGTTTCTTTCTTCTTTTATTTCTTTTTATTTTTTTATTTTAACTTACATTTAGGGTCAGTATGAAAAGGTTTACTGATAAGTATTGAGGGATCCCACGAGGCTTTCCAGGTGATGTGAGCAAGACGTCTGGTCAACCGTACCAAGGTTTGTAACGTGGAATAACTCTAAGTAAAACTGGAAAAAAGTGGCTGACCTAGCGAGACTAGATTAGTCGGCGCGTAGGAATAGCACGTAAAATAAAAGGCAGGAATAGAGGCTGTAACTGAAGGTGAGCGTGTCTAGCAGCCTCACGTAGTAGAGATTCAAGAGCGTTGAGTCTGTGTAGCGTATACCACTTAAGTCAGAGTAGCATATCAGCAATCAGAGAGAAGGAAACTGATCGGTGGACTAGATCACCACACCGCCAGTTGAAGAACAATTGAGAACAGAGCGCGATAAAACATAATGGGAACCGTTGGCACGAAAATGAGCGACTTTATTAAAGGAGAGGGACCGTTCTATCCGCCACCGGCGCGATTTTGAATGCGGGCTGTTGTTCATCAGGACAACCTGTTTCTGCGTTCTCAGAACGTAAGGGTTTTATTGGGTACTTGCGCAACGTGTTTGTAAAGAGGTCAGTACCTCCAAAAATCCAAAAACTGATCTGTACCATGCCTAATTGCGAAGTTGAATAAAAGTGGAAAAGTTGAAATATAACAGTAAGTTGTTAAAAAGGAAACGGAATATAAAAAATGGCTTGGGGAAGTCCACTGTTAGTATCAGAAAAAAGAAGGAAGTAGGAGAATGTATGGTAAATTGTCCAAAACACAGGAGAATCCACCTACAACCTACAACCGTGTGTACCGGAATCACACTGCCGAAAAAACATTATTTCCAAGTGGCGGATAGGACGCTCTGTAAACTAGAAGAGAAGGGATCAAGTTCAAGTTCAAGGGGGACTGGAACGATAGGATGAATCCTGTAAATGTTCCTTCTTGAGCGGGTCGTCGATCCAGGAGTCGATAGAGGTGCTCCGACATTTTGATGGGTCTAAAAGGAAAACAACGGAAAAAGCACCCTGTTCCACCAATTTAATGCCCCACGTTTCTTACATTAGCTGTCCTCAGCTGATGTCAGTTCATCGGGAAAGTAAGTATAGTTATTAGAGGAAGAAAAAGCGAAGGTAAGCGAGTAGGGGAAAATAACTAAAAGAAGAGAATAGTACCAACGGCGAGGAACAGT